GATGAAATGAATGAAATATTTATCAGGAGGATCTAGTGCAGTCGTCCATGATGTTGCTGTTACCTTAAACATCGGTTTTATTCCTGCTTAAGTGAAATTTTCCCCTGCCCAATATTGCGCCTTCTTGGCGAAAGAAAAATAGATTAGTTATGAGCGGTTAAAGAAGTGCCGGGTTTCTTGGTTATTCGGCGTGCATAGTCGAGTCGCGCGTTTCGTGGCAAAATGTAAAAAACGGAAGAAAAAAAAGAAAGAAAAGAACGAAAAAAAAAAAAAAATAAATAAATAAATAAATAAATATGAAGAAAGGGAGCGGGTGAAGAAAAAGGCGAATAACGAAAGTGCAGGACAGAGAATAGAGAGGGAATAGTGTGTTTGGCTTAAAATTTCATGATAAAATTCGAGTGCAATTATTATTGTAGCTTGAGCGAGTGCCGCATGCCCTCGTAGAGATTCTCGATCTTATTGCGTTTCTAAGAAATTCGATAAGAAGGGAGAGACTGCGGATGTACATATTCATTTATGATCCTCCGACTGTGGCTTGTATTAATCGATAATCTTATCATCAAAAGCGCGGACCCGCTATCATCGTCGCTCTAAGTGACAGTCACTCAATACACACGAGATAAGTGCTCGAGCGCTTAAAAGAATTCTTTAAACCTTGTAGCTTTAAGCGATGATTTTGTACGTTAGGCTTGTTAATAGCGTGAGCTCGCATTATCGCATAATCAATTCGTTTGCAATTTTCTACTGCAACTCGCGTACAATCTCCTCACTTATAATCTAACGGTTGGTTATTGCGCGATAATAGCTTGCTTTTTCATTTAATCGAACTGCTAATTAATTAGCCGCTCGCGCATGTCCATTTAGACAACGGCGGCACAAGAGCTTGAGATTAATTTGTACATTATTAATTTGTTTATTAAACGTTGATATTATGCTTTTGCAATTGCCATTGTTAAAGTAGCGAGAGCCGTTAACGAGAAGGTGGGAATAAATATTAGAACATCGTTCGCGATATACTTTCACGTTTACCATTGCCTCGTACGCTCATAAGTGCAACATTTAATAATATTAAAATGAATACTATTTAAACATCCCAATAATACGCTTGAGATGTGATATTGAAAGATTTTCTATAATATTATCGCACGAATTCTGCAAAATAGCCGTCGCTTATATTCACTACAAGTCCTTTATTCATTATTCTATCCTGCGATATTAAATACTCCCCGACATTGCATACAAACTTGTATTACTTTCGCAAGCATGACTCAAGAAGTACAGAAATAAGTATTGCGACGAGCATCGCACTCGCCATTTGCATTTCACGATCATTCTTACACTAGAAACACGTACAAAGGAAAAATCCTGCCCTCCCACGGGAAGGAGAATTTTTGCGCGGTTTCGCGGGGCAGCGGCCGGGAGCACGGCGAGCTTTCGTTTACAAACAAGAAAGTCCAGGCACGAGCTCGCGAGGCGCACACGCACACGCACACGCACGCGCGACGATGTCGGTCTAAAAATAGAAAGTCCTCGAGCGGTGCGCGCCTCAACCTTCTTCTCGAGTGCCGCAGAGCCGAAAAAATTCGGTATCGCAAAGCGATGATGACCCGACGGCCAATGGAATTCCCGGATGAGATCAGAGCCTTGCCCGGGCAAGTGCAAGTGAAGAAGTAAACGGCGAAGGTAAGAGAGTATAAGCGACTTTTTCGTTCTCGCGGCCCCGAACCCAGAAAAGGCATCTTCTCTTCCCCGCCGAGTTCTCGCGAGGAAATAATTGTAACAGAGAGAGCTTTTACGCCAGGATTTGATAGCGAATTGATTTATTGGCCGCCTTGAATCGCAAGTCCTTCTATTTACGAGGCCGATCGCCGTATTCGCCTTTCTCCTCGAAATGTTCCACATTGCTCGAGGATAATGCTAAGCGCCATTGACATTTATCGGCGGCTCTGTGTCGGCGTGGAAAGTGAAATTTCCCCGTAGCGGGTCGCTTAAACAATGTGCGCACCAGAAGTTTTACAATAGGCCCATTCGGCCACATTGCACTTGGCCTCGTATTATCTCTCTCGCGCAGATTGAACCATAAATCATTGGGCCACAGTCGTTTGTACGAGGATAACTTATAGGCGTGTTTTTCATTGTATCACACTCATACGCTTATCCCTCCTCTCCTACTCCTCCTCCTTTGACTCTTCCGAGGACAAGTATGGAATAAAATTTTTTCTCTCCGCAGTTACTTATTCTATATTCCTCGAATAGTTAGATGTGGCGGATCGATCAATGACGCTATTCACGAAAAAAACTTTAAATATATTCTCCACTTTAAATTCTTCTTTTTATTGTGGCGCCGTGTACGCATGATTAATAGTTGAAATTTTAGAAAAAGGAAAAAGTTTAACGATGGCTGAGTTTATGACAATTGGCAATGAAAATATATTTGAAGAAAATATTGCCCGGAATAAGGAAATTATTTTGCCCGTTTACTAATCTATTTAGTTGCATATATGTATAAATATAAATTTATATGACAGAATAGAGTATATTATTGCATTGAATTAAAGAAAGTTTCCACTTTAATTTGCGACAAACTTGCACATTCGAATTATATCATCTTAGAAGAGCTATAACTAATGTAGTTTACATCGGTTGTTCTTTAGTTTGTCAAAGTTGATGTAACAACTAATCATTTGTCATGTACTTTACAAAATTTATATCTACGCGCACATCTCTATCATTTACGTACCAATGATGTATTTTACTTTCACTTTAAGATAAAACATTATTTTACTTACTTTATATAGATATATAGATATATATATATATATATAAAGTAATGCTCATACTTAAAAAAGTAATAAACACTTTATATTATTATCTAATTTACCTTTTAAATAAGCTACGTATAATTTGCAACCATTATCTACTAAACTGAATTTTTATAAAATGGTTAGTACTTATTGTTATTATAAATATAATGCTTCATTCGATTTATATATATATATATATATATGTAAGAATTTATTATTATTGATCCAAGTATTACGAAAATAGTTTCTTTTTCAAATAAACTTAAGAAGCGCCATTGATTGCTATAAATATTAATATTTTAACCTAAAACACACAATCGTTTTGTGTAGTATCTGTTTGAATGTTAAATACTGAATTTTATGTTTGAAGGAGATCTCTTCGGCTAATATTAATATAATTAGGCGTTTTCATTCGTTTCTAAAAATTGTAATACTTATTGACACTAGAGACTTTGTAAAGGAACGAGAAATTTTATCACTTCGCGCGTGCAGAAATTTTGTTAATTACAACAAGTGTAAAATAAATTATTGCACAGAGTATATAAATATGTAGAAATTCTTTTATCATAACAAAAAAAAAAAAAACAAAAAAAAAATAAATAAATATTGTCACAACTATACGGTATTCTTTTAGGCCAGCGTTCATGATTCAACTCCGTACATTATACTTTTGAAAGTATACCGATGAAATTTCTTGAGAGAGAAGACTTGAGCAGACATGTATTTATCAATGTGTAGCTACTTATTTAGAGCGTTGATCTCTGTCAATTAACAAGCCTTTGGCGTTAGACATAAGAACTCGATTACTTACGGGAGAATTGGGCAAGGATAGTTGTTAACGGTAAACGAAGATTTGCCAGCCACAGCAAATTATCAATTGGCTTGGCTCACTCTTTAAACCCAAACTGAAATCAATTCGCCGCAGTTTCTCAATATGGTTGGATCGCAATCCGTCAAGTAAATGCAATTAATCCGCGCAGATGATTGGCTCTTGAAAATGGCGCTCTTTTCGGCCTTCCCCGAACCACTGACCTCAAAGCTCAAGGACATGTCCCTGAATGTCAGCGAGCCCGCTCGGCCGCAAGCGGGAGATTAATGGCAAGGAGCGAAGTTACGTAGCGCGGAGCCGTAAAACGCGGGGCGCCCCCGGAGCGGTGGAGCGGAGGAGCGGAGGAGCGGGGGAGCGGGGGAGCGGAGGAGCGGAGGAGCGGAGGAGCGGAGGAGCGGAGGAGCGGAGGAGCGGAGGAGCGGAGGAGCGGAGGAGGTGTCCCCGGGTACTTTGAATCCCCGCGGGGTAAGGGGATGGGCGGGGCGGGGCGGGTGGGATTGTCTCGGCGGGCGTCACTCGGACAGTTATAAAAGGCGGCACACGAGCTTCGCGCATAATCAAGTGGCCGGAAGAAAGATCGTACGGCCGCGCTTCATACTAATAAGTTCCGGTGACGCGCGCTGCATTACCATAGGCCGTGTCAATTAGGCCCGGACGAAGGGACCGTCATTGATGTCAGCGCATCTCCTCTACCTCTCTCCTCTCTCTCTCTCTCTCTCTCTCTCTCTCTCTCTCTCTCTCTCTCTCTCTCTCTCGCTCTTTTTAACCGACGACCGAGGCAGCCGCGATCCGTGCGTCATGGCGCCCCGGACCGCCGTTGCTTCTGCGCTCGATTCGCGAGAAAGAGAAAGACCACATATGTATATTTATATATGTACGAGCGCGCGCGCGCGCGTGTGTGCATGGGGTGCCAGGTTTGCGCGCGCTCGTTCGCTCGATCGATGCTTCGGAATTCAAGACGATTGAATGAAAAATTAAAAAATTGCTCACTATTTTTTACCATTAAGGGACGTTTTATATTCGCTCGGTAATCAGGCGCGTCGAGCTGCTAAGACTCGTCGTCGCGCTCGATTTTGGTTCAGTGAGTCCATTATGAAAGACGTTGGGATGATCGTTGAGCGACACTTAAATCGACTTACTCCCTAGTTTTATTATTTTGCTTAATCTGTATTTCAAAAACATTGCTAAAGTAAAGCTGTTCTTGAATGAAATTGTAAGGCTGGGATCGAAATTAGAATGCATACGCATACTCGGCAGAATCG